GACGTAACAATATAGTATCAAAAAAGAAATGTTAGATTTCAGTGTTCTTACTTGATTGGGTTATTAATTACATAAAAGCTTTTTATAAGTTTTCTGAATCAACACAGCTGAAGTCTACAGCAATCATTTTAAAGCTTCACTCAACCAGTAATTGGTTATTTATAAACTAATACAAGAATATGAATGTCAATTAAACATTATTATGGTAAATGTTAGTGCCTTGGCTTTTTCTAGACACTCTAACAATGTGTCTAGACTATTGAGATTAGTTTCTATGAAAGTTAGTATTGTTTAGGATATCTGCAGCTCTTATAACATAGACTTGCTACATTGAATTTTCCCTTGTTTAGAAATTAAAATTATTGTGAGAAAGACGTTTTTGCATTGTGATACTGATCAGATGATGTCTAAAATAAGTGAAAATGCAACTTGTATGAATGTATAAGTAACAACTTTAAAAAAATTTTAAAACAGGAATCCCATTTACAAATGCTATATTTTTTTCTTTATTATCATATAGATAATTATAACTATCCAAGTTCAATTGAAATGTTTGTTGGTTACTGTTTATATTTTCATATGAATCACATTACTAGAAATACAGATATAAGCTTTGAAATTGCTGGATTATATCCTGACTGCACTAATCATTTTCAGAATATATTAACATTGTTATAACTTTGTTTGCCTTATTTAGATTATCTTAACACCAAGTGGGTGACACTGATTACTACAAAATACCATATTATTATTACAGAGGAAGTCTCTTCTTTCATATAAAGGATAATGACAATGTGGTTACAGTATTACACAGCTAACTTTTAAAACAATAGCTGGTATCATACCTCCATTGCAAAAAGGAAACATTACTTCATCTACTGTAGAGAAGTTAAATGTTATTTGTTAGCAGAATAGTAATATATTATCTGAATATACTACATTTATTCTTATCCATTCCCTAATGGTTTGTAAGATAATTTATAACTATCAAAAGTTTTATTTTACAAAATAAGCTGATGTTGTTATAATATTCATGTTGTTTGACTTAAATTCAGGCTAGTTTGTTTGTTTGTTGTTAACCACAAGCCTACACAAAGGGTTATCTGTGTTATGCCAACCACAAATATTAAAACCCAGTTTTTAGCAGTGTGATACCTTAGACTTACCACTGAGTCACTGGTGGGCATTAGGCCAGTTGAGGATTATCAAAAAATATTATTTTGGCTAGATACTCATTTGCTTCGTAAACGAATTATGATTATTTACTTCAATTGGTGGGTTACAAACCATTTTATTAACTGTACAGTTACAGATACAATACTTATAAGACCACAAACTGTCATAAACATGCTTTATAACATTGTAAAACAATAGCAAATTGTCTGGAATAACAATGCTGTAAAAGTGTACACAGTATTGTTGCAACAGGTGACTGATATGCAAATCTTTTGTTATTTTTAAGTGTTAAACAATGAAGATACGTTGCATGTATGATGCATTTTGATGCACAAAAATTAGGATTAAAAACTAACTTAATTCTAACTTATTGTACCTGAAGTCTGAATAGGGTTTCTTCTAGCTTTTAATTTTTGTTTTTGCCACTTCATAAAATGTTATTGAGACACAAATTTCCTAGTCAATCTTATATATTAATCCTAACTATATTTCAACAATTTCAACTTGTAAGCATTTTAGAATGAATATTTTATTATTTTCTGACATTTATTTAGTATAATTCAAGAAGAAAAATAGGTGCTATATCAAGTGGTTTGATAATTTATTAATGAAACACAACTTTGAAAACAACTGTAAAGAAAATTTAAATATGAATGGATAGAGCATGAATTATCTTATCACCCATAGTAGAGTAAATATATAGGTTTAAGCTATTTTGTTACATTTTCTGTCAACATTTCTTTAAATTCTTTTTTGTTTGTGTATGATGAAAGTATTTGTGTATTAAATTTATATCTGTTTGAAAGCTACAGAAATTTTCTTTAATGAGAAAACATAAAATAACTTGAGATAAGGTAACCTTATAACCCTTTCACTTTGAACACTCTTTAAACTCCTTTCTGTGCAATTCACAAGGTTTTACTGAGTTACATTAAAAATTTAATTAAACAACTATTAATGTATTTTAATGAAATTAGCATTATCATGTACATTATAATTCAAAGTATTATATTATACAAGTTTGAATCCCTTTCTTTCTAATGAAACCTTTACATAAAAATACTGTAATATGCCCAAAGGGCACCCATTGGCACTTGTTGAGAAGTAATAAACTATAAAGGATAGGAAAGAAATAAAACATTAAAAACAAACTGTAATTGAAAAGGTAAAGACCTGAAATTACGAAAATAACCAAAAAATGTTGTTTAAGATTATTCGATTTAGAATTAAAAGGCATGTATATATATTTTTATTTTTTAATTTTAAATATTTCATTACACTGTACATTGATGATAAATAACTTCAATAAATAACAAACTTTTAGTAGAAATTGTATAAAAAATAAAAATTAAATATTATATTTTTTCTACAACTACGTACCTTTAGGAAAGTTCTTCTCAAGTTTCAAACAACTTCATCCACTTGTTGTATTTTTGGAATGAAAGTTGAGAAAGTTACATAACCTACTAAGTCGATGCAAAAGAGATAACAGTTTAGAGACAGGATGAATGGAAAAAAAAAAAAACTTTCTTACAAGTTTAACATGGTAAAAAGTGCATAATATTTGGAGAATGTTTTGCCATCATCAGATACAAGTACTTTATGCAGACACAGGAATATATACGTAGTATGAAACAAAGAAGCTATATGACTGGAGATTGCTTAAGGCTTAATAAAGGTATATCTTGATGTTTGGTTCTTTTTTTAAAACTATGGTGTTTCTTGCTTTCAACCTTCATCGGCATACCTTTCAAAAGTTATGTTGTGGAACACTTGGGGTCCAACTAGACTCCAGCACAAAATTACCATTATAGTAAGCTCTGTATTGAAATTCCAAAAACCAATTGCATTACAACTTTTATTAGGGTTAGCATGGAATGTGAACAACAACAAAAATATATTTATGTATTCTAGAGAAAATATGTTGACAAACCATGTAATTACAAAATTATATTGTTCCTCTCCTCAGTATACAAATAAGTAGTATTAAGCCATTTCTTATACAAAAAGTGTATAAGAAAAATGCAAAGTTTTATTATACTCCTATATTCAAGTCATTATCCACAAATATATGAAATTACCACAATACTGCAAAATTCTACTCGAATAAAACTGAAAATATATGTTGTGACCAGACTCCAACACAAATGTATCCTTATAGTAGTCTATGGATTGAAAAACCAATAAGCAGGTTATTTACAACAATTATCAAACAAGGTTTCAATAAAATAGGGCATAATAAACAGTCATCACAGAGAACATTTGTTGAGGAATGAGATGCATATACATGCTTACAACAATAATGTTATAAGCACACAGACAAGAAGATACTGTATTACTTTGATGAATTATTCTCTATAAAAGCCTATACAGAGAAATAAATATTTAAAAATTTGTTTCCTATGCTATAGGGCAAATTCCATGTATAGTGATTGTCGATGATAGTATGGGTTCCATCTACATGGACCCCAGATAAATACTAGATTATAACTATGTACTCCATCTTGCCTGTTTTGAAAACAATAATCATATTGATCCAGGATTTCTGTTTGACAGTTATATGAAATGACATAAATTTGTAGTGATTATGTAAAAAGATATACAACCCAGAAAGTCCTTGGGTTCCATGCTGATGAGTTTTAATAGTGTTACGTCTTTTTTCGTTTGTTAATTTCCCGTATAATTTCTTTCCGATGAAACTTTAGCGATACAAGTCCTTTCTTAAATAAAACTAGTTTATTAATTCTTAATACAATTTTGCAATACACTTAATTTCCACAGTCACTTTAACTTAAACACATGCTATAATTCATAACAATTCACGCACTTTACTTACGGTCACTACCGCGCTTGACTCAATTATCCGTCTCTATCTCTGCCTGTCTGCAATTATCTATGCCGTCACTTCTTCTCTCCGCTTTATTTGCCGGGCTTATATATTAAAATAGAGGGCACCTAGAAAACCTATAATATGTTTTTATTGAGTTGCAGTGTTTATAAACATATATCATCAAATCAGATAAGTTTAGTTATGTTTACTGTTTAGTAAGTATGAGAGGAGACTGCAAAATAATATTTTGATGACTCAAATCTTTACTAAATATTTTCATGTTTATTCTAATCAAACAATGTATATAAGTAAATTGGCTAATGGGCTACTCATTTCTAATTGCAATCGTGGTATAGTTTAAATAAACACATTATTACCCTTATTGGAGATAGTGGAACATATTTTCATTATTTAATCATCATTGTATTTGATTTACAGAACATCAGTGTGGAATTACAACATATTTTAACCCTCGACTCTCTCGCTGTGGCCTCAGTCGATTTGGCCTAGTTTGTGACCCCAAACTGACCTTTAGAGTTTACATAATATGACTTCTATTTTGTTTCATATACTTTCATGAAATTTCTCAAACTTTCAGTAAACATCAATAAGTCTTTTATAGACAAAATATTAGAAATTTTAATGAAATATTTTTACTAAAATTTTATCTGTAAATATATGGAGTCAAAGTGTTGAGTGCTGTAAGTGCAAAGTGATTTTCATTTTAAGATTAAAAATGTCTTCTTTCATGTGAAAATTATTAAATATCATTTTCATAATCTTTAATACTTCTTAAATAAATTTCCACTTTTTTTTTCCAGTATGTTATTTTCTCTACCTTAACTCTATATGCATTTGGTCAATTTGAATGACCTCATAATCACCATAAAAAGATAGGAAATAAATCTAAATTACCTTTTTTATTTCTAGAATAATTTCAAATTGTAATAGGAAACTACATTTGTTTATCCTGAATAGCTTAAAGCTCTTAGTTTTATTGCTTTATGCCCTTTGAACCATGTCTAACTTAACAAGTTGTAAATTACTTGGCAAAGGTATAGCTAATGTTACCCTGTTGAATTATACAATGCATGAGATACTGGTGAGTGTACCCCATGAAAAACATTTTATTATTATTTTTCTTTATCTTACCTAGTCTAACTTTAAGTAACCTAATAGGTTTCTAATTTTTCCATTTTAGTTACTTTTATAATAAAGAATAGATATTAAAAACAAGAAATATAGTATTTACCTCAGCCCTCTTTACATTAATGCATAACATGTATCACAAGTGACCCACCAAAGTTAAAAAAGATCCAGACCATGTTTATGTGTATATTGCTTTTATTAAATCTAACAAGACACCACATCAGCAACAAGAAATACTGTACCATCAGCAAAATTACCTTGTAGTACAACAGCTATAAATTGTAGTCCACACAAGCAGTTGTTTTTGTTGTGTGTGAGGGTGCAAAGCAGATATGTCTGGTGCCTTTTTTTGCTCATGATATGTTAGTTTTCCTGTTTTTAGATCTAGGACACAAACTTCTTTGGCACTAGGAAAAAGGAGCAGTGTTCTTTACTTTTCTATGATACATCTTTTCAGATAAAATTAGCACAAATCTTACCATATGCATGACCTGAGTGGTTAGACAGAAAATAACCTAACAGCTCATGCACAACTTTCTTGTATATATAAGTAAATCCCTGATGCTCCAACCCTATATTTCTTCTTTCATTTGACCTTAGTTTAAACATTTGGAAAAAAATAGGGAAACATCATACATCCAAGTAAGACCTGTAATGTGCATGAAAAGCTTACTATTACAGAAATAAACAGCATTTCTACCATCCAGTTGTATAGCTTTAGTATAGCATTCTATTGCGTCCCTATACTTTTCATGATTCATTAGATTGTTTCCTACAAAAAAAAAGTTATAATGCACATAGTTTTCTCAAATAGTTTCTTATAACTTAATTTTCATAACTGTGAATGACAAGAAATTATCAGTTTATTTTTGCCAATATTTCTCTGAGGACTAATGTATCACAAGCAAGCTATTTTTAGTTGACTAGAGATAAGGTAGACAATGTGTTATTTAATATAGTTAATAAATGCCTTTCAAAACTACAGTAACTTAAAACATATGAATATATTTATAAAAAAGTAGAAACATAGAGACAGGTTTGATATATCTCACCCAAAATAAACCTGCCTTGATCAGTGTCCTCTGGAAAGTTTTGAGCCAATATAATGATAGTTTGTTAAGTAAGCCTAAGTACTGTTGAAGTAATTCTTTCCACACACACTATTCATCTTCAAAAAACTTCTTGAAGAAGCAAAGAAACTAAGTATAAGCCAATGACCATTGGGCACACAAAATAAACATATTCGTTTGAAGTGAATTATTAATAAACTAAAACCTACTTTGGCAGTGTTTCAAATAGATCATAATCCTTCTACCTTAATTAGTTTCAGGCTTCATTGAAGATAATTTATAGGGCTATTAAGTACCTTTATTTGGGTAAACCTACTAGACACCTAAAAAGAGTAACAACTTAAGTTTGAATAAAAGCCATTTCGAAGGTGCAATGTTTTGCTTTGGCTATGACAAAACACATATAAAATTAAGATTAAAATTAAATATAATTTACACTTGTACTTAAGCACATTAAGAACAAATTAAACCTGTTTTTTTTTTCTAAATATACCTATTACTCTAATTCTTAAACACAACAGCTTCATGACAGCTTTCCATTTACTTCAACACTTCCAATATTTTTAAATCTATATCTGTAAAATTATCCCAAATTATTCCTCTCGTTATTTTGTTACATGCGTTAGTATTCTACAAATGTTTCCATTAAAACACTTATTTTCATGTATGTAAGTTCATAAAGAAGTACAGCATGAGAAACCCACAAAAGAACTTCATTTTGAGCATGTAATCAAACAGTGTAACCTTTGCTCTGCTTAGTATTATTTTCATGAAATGCTTACTTTAGATTCCTTAATATTGTTACGTCTCCGTTTGTTAATTGATTTTCCGTAACTTCGTTCCGACGAAACTTAAGCGACACAAGTCCTTTCTTAATAAAACTGGTTTATTCTTTCCGAATATAACTTTACCGATACACTCAACTTCAACAATCGCGCTAAACAAACGCTGTAACGTCTCTTGTGCTCTCTGACTGCAGTTCAATTACTCACTACTTACCCACACATTACATTCCCCTCTTTTATATACCAGACTACCCTATATCTAGTAAATACTAGAGC